CGAAAACCAATGTAGATGATGCAGAGGGGTTCTCTTGGTACCTGGACTCAGGTTGTTCAACACATATGACGGGAAGAAAGGAGTGGTTTGTGAAGATGCAAGAAGTAGCCCATGGAATTATAAGGTTTGCAGATGATAGAAGCCTCACTGCGGAGGGGTCTGGCAGGGTCATGTTGCGTGATAACAATGACAGGGAAGTAGTCATGAAGGAGGTTCTTTATGTACCTGGCTTAAGGACCAATTTGCTCAGCCTTGGTCAGCTTTTGCCGAAGGGATTCAAGATGAAAATTTAAGATAATGGCCTAAGTGTCTTTGACCAGCACATGAGATTGACTAATAAGGCAACGCTTTCCCAAAATAGGACATTTCGTGTTGTCATGCATGCTGTAAACCATCAATGCTTCTCGTTGACAAAAAACAAGGCAGAATGGTTGTGGGACATGCGCTTTGGTCATTTGAACTTTAAGGATTTATCTCGGTTAAGCAAAAGTTCAATGGTTAATGGATTGCCACAAGTACAGATTCCTGAGACAGTATGCCAAGAGTGTGTCCAGTGCAAACAAACCAGGGGTAGCTTCAAGAAATACTTGCCACAGAAAACAACTAGCAAACTGGAAATAGTATATTCAGACGTATGTGGACCTATGCAAACCGAAACTCCTGGTGGTAGCCGATATTTTGCTTTGTTCATTGATGACCTGACAAGGAAAGCATGGACGTATCTAATCAAGCAGAAGAGTGAAGTGCTTGACGTGTTCAGGAGATTCAAGGCTATGGTTGAAAGACAATGTGGGGAAAAGATTAAGCTACTGAGAACAGATGGAGGAGGTGAATATACCTCTATAAAATTTGGAAGATTCTGTGACACTGAAGGCATAGTTCATGAAACCACACCTCCCTATACTCCAGAACACAATGGTACAGTAGAAAGGAAAAACAGGACCCTGTTAAATATGGTACGATGTATGTTAAAGAGTAAGTGTCTTCCTAAGTCATTGTGGGGAGAGGCGGTAATGACAACCATTTACATCTTGAACCGATCACCCACCAAGAGGCTAAAAGATGTCACTCCAGAAGAAGCCTGGACTGGTCACAAACTAAGTGTTGAACACCTGCGAATATTTGGGTTAGTTTGCTACAAACATGTACCAGATCAGCTGCGAAAGAAGTTAGAAGATAAAGGAATTCCATTTGTGATGATTGGCTATCACCCTACTGGAGGTTACAAGTTGTTTGATCTCAAGACAGGAAAAGCCACTGTGAGCAGAGATGTGGTGGTGGATGAAACTGCAACCGTGGATGCTAGTGAAAAACAACATGAGGAGTCGAGAATCGTTATAGATGAAGTTGATACAAAAAGAAAATCTGATTCAGATGAGAGTGACACTAGTGTGATGAGATCATCCAGAAACTCTCAGTTTCCATCTTGGTTGAGAGACTATGATCTCTCTTATGAAGCTATCACTACTGGTGAAGGAAATTTTGTGCATTATGCACTTATAGCTGTGGCAGAACCTATTAACTTTGAACAGGCTGTGGGTAATATAAAGTGGAGAAAGGCTATGAAAGAAGAAATTGATTCCATTGAAAGGAATCAAACGTGGGAACTAACAGAACTCCTTGCTGGAAAAAAGCCAATAGCACTAAAGTGGTTTTACAAGTCCAAAATAAATCCACAAGGGGAAGTTGTGAGACATAAAGCCAGGCTGGTGGCAAAGGGGTTTCTACATCAAGCTGGAATAGACTATGGAGAGGTATTTGCTCCAGTGGCCAGAATTGAAACAATTAGGTTGGTAATTTCTGTTGCTGCACAATTTCGTTGGACACTACATCAACTTTGATGTAAAGTCTGCCTTTTTGAATGGCAAACTTGAGGAAGAGGTGTATGTGGTACAACTACAAGGTTTTGAGATTGATATTCACAAGGACAAGGTGTACATGATGAGAAAGGCGCTCTATGGTCTCAAGCAGGCTCCAAGAGCTTGGAACCAGAGAATTGATGGTTTTATGGGCAGCCTTGGCTTTGGAAAATGTACCTATGAATATGGAGTTTATGTCAAGGAAAGAAACAAGGATGGGAAATCTAAAAAACTAATAGTATGTTTGTATGTAGATGATCTTTTGGTTACGGGTAGCAGTGAAAAGCTAATAGCAGAGTTCAAGACTGAAATGGTAAGTGAATTTGAGACGAGTGATTTGGGAAGACTGAGCTACTTTCTAGGAATAGAGTTCTCAAAAAGTGAATCTGGGATAATCATGCACCAGTCACGCTATGCACAGGAAATTCTGAGAAAGTTTGATATGCACAAGAGTAACTCTGCTATTATACCTGCAAAAGTGGGACTGCGGCTGGAAAAGGAACCAGAAGAAGTTGTGGTTGATCCTACTGAGTTTAGGAAAATAGTGGGAAGCTTGAGGTATATATGCTGCACTAGACCTGATTTGTGTTTCAGCGTGGGACTGATAAGCCGATACATGCAAAGCCCGAGACAATCCCATCTCAATGCAGCTAAAAGAATCATGCGCTATCTCCAGGGGACTAGTGATTTTGGTATCCTTTTTCCTAAAAGCAATCAAGACACTGATATGAAGGTGATTGCTTACTCAGATGTAGATTGGTGTGGGGATAAAGATAATAGAAAGAGTACAGCTGCGTCCATTTTCTTTCTTGGAAAATCACCAATTTCGTGGAGATCAACAAAGGAGCAAGTGGTTGCATTGTCTTCCTGTGAAGCTGAATATGTTGCCGCCTGTGAGGCAACATGTCAGGCAGTGTGGTTGAACTCATTAATGGAAGAGTTGAAGGTTAGCTTACTGGGAGGAATAAAGCTATTAGTTGACAATAAATCAGCTATTGACCTTGCAAATCACCCAGCCTCTCATGGTAGGAGCAAACATATAGAGACAAAGTACCATTTTATACGTGACCAAGTGAGGAAGAAGAATGTGAAGATAACTCACTATAGATCAGAGATGCAATTGGCTGATATTCTGACAAAAGCTCTCAAACATGACATGTTCAAAAAACTGAGAAGATTGATTGGAGTTGTAAATGTAAATGAGTTTTTGGCTTAGGGAGGAGTGTTAGAGAATAAGACAAAAGACTCATTTTCTCCTTTTAGTTCTGTTAGTCTGTTGCAACTGACAAAAACTTTCCTTTCTGCTGTTTTAGTTAATCTTCCTGTTATATAAAAACTACTTTAATCTACCATTCTCATATATAAAAATTACACACCTCAATTTTGTTTTTGTTACTCTTTGTTTCATCTCTCTATCTAAATATCTATAAAAACAAATTCCAGGCTCCTTACAGATGGAAGTTCTATCCCACACTCAATGTGTCAGGGCATAAGAGGATTATCTAGAGATAATATTGGTAAATGCTTGTGTGTTTTTTCTAAATCTATGCTTGGAGGTTGGGCCCTGACAGCTGAACTTTAGGCTTTGAAACATGGTCTTAGTATGGGATGGGATATTATTGGTTATAGAAAGATCATTTGTGTGAGCATCTTTATGGAAATAATTAATATTTTTCATATCTGGAATATTGGTAATGTGAACGTACATACTAGTAGTAGGAACTTAGTTTTGGAGACAAAAGGGTTGTTGGGTGGATATTGGTAAATACTGCTGGAATTTACCCCATAGAAACAAATATGCGGCTGCTGATTTACTGGCAAAAAGGGCATCCTGAAGCCTCAATTATGATCAAACCTGGCTTTAACCACAAGATGATCTTTGTACTGCTCTAGGACAAAAAGTTTTGGCTTAGCTTCTGATATTTATCTTTTACTTCCTTATGTACCAAAAAAACAGTGTGCCTTCTTAACTTTTATGTGTTAAATCTTTTCACCTCAAAAGATCTTCCTATATGGCATTCCATTTCTACTTGGGGGCCGGGGCTGGTCATATGTCCCTCAAGTGTATTTTAAATTTTTCTGAAGTTGCTGGTTATGTTTGTTTCTCTTTGTAAGTGTTCGTTTACAATTGTAGAACATATAAAGCTTGCAATATAAGTTGCTGGTTGGTTCTGTTTTCTTTAAGTTGTCATTTACACGACTCTTGTTTGAGGGTGAGAACGGAGGCAATGGTAAAGTTGCGTTTTCATGACCAGTTGGTTATAATTTTGAATCTGGAAACAGTATCTTTATATATTCAAGGGATAGACGGCATGCAATGGCTCTCTCCTATCTCTTTGCAAAGCGGGGAGCCCGGGGCACTTGGAATTTAGTTTTACACCGGACTCTTTATCTTTTTTGTTTATGAATGTCTGTAAGTTATTCTGTCTATTCAGTCACTCATCTAAATTATAATGTGTAAGACTAAAAGAGGCATCAATGACAAATATTTGTGTTAGCACTGGGAAGAGAGGCATGTGAATAGTTGGTAATAGGAGAATAATATTTCATAATTGGAAATCAAGATGACATATTCAGTGTTAACTACGGAACGTACAAAGACTAAAAGAAAGGAGACTAAAGTGGCCCTGAAACTGTCATTGTCTCTTCCAAAACTCTTGTTTTACACAACCTGGATACAAAAACATAAACTGAAAATATAGGGCTTTGTTTGGTTTTTGAAAAGATTTAATGTTTTTATTTTCAGTTTCGTAAATAATTACAAAAGGTTACCTTATTTTCACTTTATTTAGATTTCAAAATTTTGTACAAGAACTGGTTGTAAACAACATTTTGTTGTTTTTACCATTTGCTATACAAAATTTTGAAAGCAAGGATACAAATTGGAAACAAGGTAACATTAGTAATTATTTGCATAAACAAAAAATGAAAACAAAAGGTTTTCTCAAACCAAACAAACCGTTAGTTGAAACAAAAACAGTGACTACAGTTATAAGAGACTCTGGTAAAAGGGCTTCTCTAACCGAAACCAGCCACTTTTTCTTCCAATAGCGACTATAGCTCAAGTTAATTGATTAGTTGTTGATCCCTTCTTTCTCTTATTTATATATATGCTGTTACCATAGCCTTTGTCCATTGCAATTATACTTTATAGCTACCAGGCATATCATTCTCCTCATACTTCCCTTCCAGCTGTATACTCTTGAACCACTTTGCACATACAATATAAACTATCAAGTCTATTGATGTCAAGGCAGCTAAGAGGAAGTAAAACCTATCTAGGTGACCTCTGTTTAAGTTTCCTGGGATCCATCCTGGCATGTGATCCTCGGTGGAGATCTTCATAACTATGCTAACAAGTAAGCTACTTACATAGTTCCCAAGTGAGATGGAAGTCATGCAAAGGGCGCTTCCAAAGCTCTTTAAGCCATCTGGTGTCTGAGCATTGAAGAACTCTAACTGACCTACATACATAAAAACCTCCGAAGCTCCAATAAGTGCATACTGAGGAATTTGCCAGAAGATGCTTAGAGAGCTTGTACCACTGCAATGGGGGCATCCTGCTTTGGCATACTTAAGCCTGTAGCATTCAACTATTCCAGCTGAAACCATTGCCATTACAGCTATAACAAGCCCAATTCCCATTCTCTGAAGCTCAGTAAGTCCCTTGGAACTTGTTTTTTTAAGTCTTCCAACAAGTGGATCAATCACTCGACGGTAGAAGAAAATGAAGACAGCTACACTGACGATGTCAAAGCTAGACATGCTTGCAGGTGGTATTCTGAAATGGGAAATTGTAGTTTTCATGGCAGCCCCTTGCTCCACAAAAAGAGAAGCCATCTGTGTGAAAACCACTGAGTATATTATGGTACAGAGCCAAATTGGAAGAAGTCTTAGTATACACTTGACTTCTTCAACTTGAGTTATAGGGCAGAGACGCCAGGGGTTATGAAGGCCTCTCTTTTGGTCTTCTAGATCTCTGGAAGATATAAATGCTGCTCTGTCCAGAAACCTGCAAGGCAGATGGCAAATGTCAAATTGATCAAATTGTTATAGCTTGGTAGAATGAAGTATGGACAACTATACCGAAACTGTTTGGTGTTTAATTTGTAATTTTGTCTCAGCAAAATGATTAATTGATGACATCCATACAGTAAAAGCATTCCATGCAATATCTGGACTATAACTATTAAGTTATTAACATGGATTGTTTTCAGAAGTATTTAACTTCTATACTTACTTGAACCCGTTCGTGTGGAGAATCTTTCTGTTGCCGTTAGTGGGAGATTCTTTTTCATCCATGACATATAGATCCTCTTCATTTGATGTCATCTGAGCTCCCCATTTCCTTGATGCAGCAACAAGGACTTGGCCGAACCTTGATAGAGGATTGCCACTGGGTTTGAAGTGTCTATATCTTGGAGTCCCAAGAAGAAATAAGACAAGAGCAGCAAAAGCAGAACCTGCAGACACCCAGAACCCAAGTGCCCACAATCCTTCATCTTCAAAATAGCCTAGAATTGTGTTTGAGAAGAGTGAACCAAGGTTCAAAGCTAGGTAGAAGTAGCTAAAGAAGGCAACCTTTGAGTAACCCTCCCTTGAGTGCTCCTCGTCAAATTGGTCAGCTCCAAATGTGGCAATATTTGGCTGATACCCTCCATTCCCTAAAGCAATGAGATAGATTGAGAGGTAGAACATCCCCATCTCCATGCTTGAATGTTTGGCACATGGAATTGTTTCATTCCCACAACCTATTGGCCTAATCAAGGAGAGGTATGATGAAAGAGACAAGGACACTAGACCCTGTTATTTCAACCAGAATATTAGTTATTTACCCAAGGAATGCAATAGCTTAAACTAAAGAGGGGAGAATTAGAACGTCAAATGAAATTAAGAGGATATTACTTACAATTACAAAGATGACCTGAAAGATGGCACAAGTTTTGTATCTTCCCCAGTAAGAATCACTTAAAAAAGCGCCCACAAGAGAGAAGATATAAACTGTGCCAGTCCATTTGCTCACATTGTTTGCAGCATCAGCATTATTTTGTCCCATCACTCTTGTCAGGAACAACACTAGGTTCACCCCTACTCCGAAGAATGCTAAGGTTGCTAGACCTTGGTTCACTGATCGATGCCATCAGAAAATAAGCATTGTCAGCACAGTGTTATTAGTATTGTATATAGCGTTATATGAATAAACTCATGCATCCTTGCATAAGTGTAACTTGTTTGCATATTTTGTGCACTGAAACTGTAACTTGTTTGCACATTTATGTTAATTACTTATTTTTTAGAGAGACTTTCAAATGTTTGCCAATTCATCTAAGAAACATGCACATTTTATTCTCGGTAATTATTTAACACTTATCTAACTAGGGTGGTATAAAAGTATGTGCAGGGAACATAAAAGAGGGGAAAAAATGTGTAAATATGCATGGCTAAATCAAGTAGGGTTACTGTATCTCGCAGAGGGTGGTGGATCATGTCGCTATGCATATATCAAAGAGCTATTATAATAATAATGACTAGTCCGTCGAATCTTCATTGTAAATAGTGCATTACCACTAATAAGCATTATGAACCACCACAATAAATAAAAACAGTGCATTACCACTAACAAACATTATGAACCACAACAATAAATATGCACACGTGGTACTTAATTATATAATTTTAGGTATTTCAGGCTTTTGCTTTTATAAAGCCACACTTAATGATAATGGTTTCACACCCGAAATATCACTTGATTTTTCTGTCAAGTAAATTCTTTTGATATACCTTTTCTTATTGAAAGTTTTTTTTTTTCAATATTCACAATCCGATAATGGAAAGTGTTGTTGGTGGAAAAGATATCTTGACTATATAAAGTGTTGTGATCTTACAGTTAAATATATAACACCGATACAATTTATTTGAAGAGTTAGAGTAAGATTTGGTCGATCTTATTCAATAAAAATGTATTTTGGGATTTGTTTTTCGGTACTAGCATGCGGGTGACTTTTCTTTATTTTTTTTCGTTCCGCGCACAAACAAAAACCTCAATTTGCATAATTGAAGTATCAGAAATTATCTAAAGCAGATCAAAACAATAACCATTAAAGGGGAATATTCTGTATAATTTGAAATTTAAACTATTTATTTATTACAAAGTATCTTTTATATTAACAAATAAAAAAATATAAATTAATTAAAATTCGCTTTTGTTGGATCTTACTTTGCTTTGCCTATAAAAACAAAAACTAAAAGAATATATTATTTGTGTGTACTTTTCCATCTAACAATTAATCACATATTTCTGCACATGTACATGCACCAACGTTACTTATTTGCACACTTCTCTGCAGACACGAAAAGTCTCAGAATTAATAATACCAATTTTCCTTCACCTTTAATGCTGTGTTTATGTATTTTTTGGAACAAACTACTGACTAAGTCAGTGAGCATTTTATCAATTATTCCTTCTCTTATACTATTATACTATCCATATCCATCATTCCAAAAGTAAGTGCTAAAGAATCAATAAATGAAATATTTTTATTATAAAATAAAAGCCATATATATATATATATTGATAATATTAAATGTTATACTTTCTAGTCATTGTACAATAACTATCATTCAAATGTAAAAATAAAAATTAATTCAAAATATTTGAAGTAATACCAATTAAAATATATAAAATTAATTTAACATATTTCTTATATACTCTTTTTAATTCAGACTTAATTATTTGTTAAAATTATTAAAACAAAAGAAAAATTTATTAAATGAGAATGAGAACCTTGGAATCTATGGTTTCTAATAAAATTTAGTAAATAGAAATGAAATACATTAAAAAATATGATATTAATATTTTTGTTAGTTGTATGTATGTACGTTCTCTGCAATGAACTGAAACTGTGTTTACCAAATATAGAATCAACCTAGCTTGCACACATTGGTTATGGTCACGCATCTATTGTTAAGGACACGTGGCAAATGAGCTACGTCATGCAAGATCCTAGCACTGGTTGCGTGTCACGAACGTATTCCCTAAAATGCATGCTAATTTCTCCACTCTCCTTTTCCAAATATTATGTCTTTCTATAAGAATTAAGCATCTCTCTCACACACACAACTGGATCAAGAAAGAGTACATCACTGATCCAGCAAGATATGTAGTGCGGTGGAGTAGGATTTTCAGCCAGCAATTGCTAGCTGCTAATTCAAAACTCTGATTTTTGTAAATTGAATGGAGCATGAGGTTCCTGCATTTAAGATGTGTCATTTTCTACAGACTGAAACTGATAAGATGACCAAGAAACCTTCTTTGTTTGTGGACCATCTGAAGGCAAGTTCTAGAGTTCTTTCACTGATAAGCTATCTAAAATACACACATTATTCATCAAATTTTATGCTAGCTGGACAAGGTTCTTCAAACTTCTACGGCTCCAACTGCTGCCACGAGTCACTCCTATCATCAGCTACTATACTTATACGTATCTTTCTCTCTCTCACACACAATCGATGATGCTGTAATAAGCTTAAACCAATAACAAGTTTATTCATCACAAAACACTTAAATCATTTAATGCATTACGGTACCATGTAACCAAAAAAAACAAACAATTAAAAACATAGTTAATAATAAATTGCCCTGATATGTTTATATTTGGAACTCACACAATACAATGGTTCCAGCAACCCATCTCCCAGATTTGGCTCTGATTGCAGGGCGACCATGCCAATCAACACTTCCATCAAGAGTTAGCTCTTCTGTGTCATCTTTGAACTTTACCTGCAGATTGATTTCAACATTTAAAAGATATGTTTAAGTCTGTAGATGTTTGCAAAGTCTTGAAGGGCTTGCTAGAGAATGCATGCATGCACTTGACTAGAGATCAAGGGATTATATATAGAGAGAGAGAAAAATGGAAAAGGGTAAGCTGAGAAGGGAGGATTTTATGTTTGCTGAGTGAATATTTTGTATGCATATATAGCAGCCTGTGGTTAACATACCTCTTTGGAGAGTTCTAAGCAGGCCATTGGAGATGTGAAAGTGATCAAGGTTAAAGAGAAAGTTGTATTAAGTTCTCACACCTGCTCTAGAATGCAGGTGAGAGAATTGAAACAGAGAAAAGTGTTGTATCAGTGAAAGCTGAATAGAGAGAAGAAGGACGAAATTTACACATGAAGCAGAGCTTGGGAGTATCCAATAAATAGAGGAAGCAAAGATGGCTTGAACGGTGCAGATTTCAGAGTACAGAAGTGGGGACATCCCACGTGTCATCATCGAAAACTTTATATAAATATATAAAATATACAGTGAGTTTATTTAAAAATCATTTAAATACTTTTTGTACAATCACAACTAAAAATTCTCTAAAAATTCTCATCATGGGAATATTTTTATAAAATTTTTGAAAAAATTATAAGAAATAAATTTTTTATAAATTTAAACAATTTTTTCAAGAAAATTGATAAAAAAAAACTAGTTTTCTAGTAGTGAATAATTGTTACATATTAATATAAATATCAAAAATGGGGAACAAAAATAAAAAAAGATATATCATATATGGTAAGAAATTATAATTTTTTTTCATTAAGAAAAAGGTTAATTGAGTTTTAAGGTTTGACTTAGGTTCTTGTTGGATTTGAACTGGTTTCTTAACATCTGAATTTGTTGGTTATGATAGTTTTTTTTTCAGTTCCTAAGTTGTTTCTAAGACTAAAAGTATATAGGAATCTACGTATTATTATTTTTAATCTTTTACAATTAATTTGTTTAGAATAAATAATCAACAAACTAAGGAGACACGGTTAATTAAATTTCTAAATGAAAAAAAAAGGTTATTTGAAATCAATTCCTTAATATTATATTATAGTTTAATGAGAACATATTATCAAATTAGTTCTTAAGGTTATATTTTAAGTATAAAATTGTAAAATATAATTCTTAGAATTTTTATATATTCATAATTAAATCAGATATTTCATTTTTTTAAATAACTAAACTAAGAATACCTCAAGTATTTAAAGACTTAATTGATGAGTTAATCAACAGTACAATTGTTTAATTATTTTATTAGAATATTTAGGAAAATAAATATAGTAAGGTATTGATTTTATTATATGTAATAGTAACTAAAATTAAAATAATTAGAATTGTGTGAAATTAAAATATAATAAATAATGGCAGGGCGACAATCAATAAATGCAAAGAATTTTCTCTTGGACTGAAATATACGGCAAGTCGATGTCATATTTAGCACCCACATAAAATCTTCTATTCATTTTTTATTTAATTTATAGTTATATTTAATTAATTTATTAGAATATTGGTATTTTTAGTGCTTTTAAAATATTTATTAATACTAGGTTTTTCACAAAAATATTTCACTCACTAAACTTCAAAACGATAAATATTGAATCATATATGTTAAAAAAATAAATGTTTTTAAAAGAATAAATACTTGTTTTCATACTTTCAATTTTATAGTTCATGATCGTTTGAACAGTTTTTTTTTTTTAACAACCTAAATAAAATAATCCTTATTAACTATGTTTTTTCTATTAAGAGAAAAACTATAAGAATATATAAAAATGGATTGGAACCTTTACTTTGTTTATTATTTTATATTATATATATATATATTTGAAAAAATAAAATATATAATATAATCCAGAACAATATTATAAAAGTCAACAATATATAACGTCTAACTTAATGAAAATAAACGCAGAAATTAAATAATTAATGAAAGTTACGACCAAGCATTATGTCCTCGTATGGTCAATTATTAGTAGTTATTGCTTGACGTTAATGGTTCTTAATTAGTCATCTTTAAGGTTGGGCAAAATTTATTATTTTTAATAAAATTAATATTGAATCATTGAATGTAATTAGGATAAGTGTTGGGCTGATTGTAACCATATATTATTTATATTAAAATACATATTTTCATTCAAAAATCATGAAAATTAATTTCTAGCAGACAAGCAGCACCAAGAATTTCTCAGCCAACAAGAACCTTTATTTTGTCAGTTTAATCCACTATAAAAAATCTCAGAAGTTCTTTTAATTTGTATTCAAACATGTTAAAGATCATCACACCACACACACGCACACAAAAAAAGTTACATGATATCACGTCATAGAATATCATAAAATACCTTAAGTATCGTTTGATCCATGGAACTTTTTGGGTTAGTTTGAAGGGAAAAAGAATTATAACCAAACCAAGTAGACAAACATGACGTACAATGGCAGCATACAGTGAGAAAAATACTCATTCACATGGGTTTTAATTTGCACATGTTTGGTGGTAGCAGTATCTTAAATTAATAATATATATAAACATTATGCATGCATATTCACTCAATTAATTCTTGTGTTAAGCAATTTTATATATAAACACCACCTTTTTGGATACAATCTGTGATGAAAAAAAAAAAACGTAAAGTTACAGGTAATATACGTTTGTCATTTTTCAATTATCATTTTAATACACATATATTAAAATAATAATCGCACTACAACTTTTGTAATATAACGAGTTTAATTTTTATGAATTATCAGTAAAGAAAAGTATACTGTCTGAACAAAAGTTTATGTTAGTCATAACAATTTTATTAATATGCATTTTTACGATTGTTTCAAATAATTAAGGTTTACAATTGTAACATTCCAAGTGTTTTGTTTCCCTAGCCACTGGGAAATTATGAGATGAATATTCTGATTAATTATTATATGAGACATTCTGTGCCAGTTTCTGAACGCAGAAACATTGTGTTAGAATCTCATCTTCTCATACACCCAGGCAACTATTGCGAATTAGGTGCATAATTTATTGATTAAATGATATATAATATGGTAAAAGTTTAACCATACATAGGAAAAGTATATTCCATAAAACTCTACTTCAATAATGGCTTTGCTTTTAAAAACCTTCGTTCCCAGCCCCTACAAACAAGAGTTTGAAAAGTTATGTGCACCAAACAAAGAGTTTCAAAATCAAATAATTTCTCCAATTAATGCCAACGTGCATTAAACAACCCTTGAGAAGCATCATTACCAAACTAAACGTAGAAAATATTGATTGTGGTATTCATTTCATATTTAATAATTTGAGTGCTATTTATATACAGAACTATATCTGCAACGGAATTTCTAAACTGTCACAATTTTTTTAACCCTGCAATAACAATAACTGATAACCGCTCAACTAACTCTTCAACATCGGCTCACAAAAACATTATAAGATAATTCAAAATTAATTGTCAAATATAAGAAATTACAATAATGTTCGGCATAAAAATGTGTTATAATTAACCAAACCCAAGTGGTATTGAAAGATTAATCTTTATATTGTATAAATTATATAAAAAAAATGGGATTAGAAGTTTCCAACAATTTTTAATTACACTTTAGTATTATTTACCTACACGTAATTTTTATGTTCATTAGTGCATCAACTCAAAATATAAACTTACCAACCTAGTTAATCAGTATTTTAAACGAAAAAGAAAAAAAGTATTGAAAATGCCATGTTTCTTAATTTAACATAGATTATTTACAGAAGAAATGGAAGCAGTAGGTCAGGTTCCTTGTGCTCTTCCCTTCATCGATCCCCTAGACTTGATTTGGGAGTACAAACAGGAAGTAAATGCCAAGAGAAAGCTGACAAAAGTCCAAAGGGAATGAAAAAATATTCTTTCCAAAAGCATTTTTCTGAGGAAAGAAAAATATAAGATGCATGCTACAACTACCATATTAGGTCAATATGCAGTATGTATCAGCATCATGTACTACAGTGTGAAATAATCAAGTCGAGATATTGTTCCTCTTATGATCAATCTCCCCTATCCCAGAAAGAAAAGAGAGCAAGTGCGTGTCTTATTTGCCAACTTGCTCCCAAGTTACTCCTTCAAATAATCTAATAAACTCAGTAAAGTCCAATTCTAGCAAATTTTTGTTCAGACATTGCATTAATGAAGAAACATCCAACCTACTCACTAAGTTAAGCACATCACATGCCTTTAATGTTGATTGTTAAATAAATATTTTGTAGCTACTGCGTGATAGACATGTTAGATTCATTTCTTTCCAAGGAAATCTCCCACGTCTCATTCAAACAACATTAGTGCACAAGATGTCAAGTCTACAAAGTAAAAGAAGCCTGAAACAAGCATTACAACTGTGACGCACGCGACCAAACAATACTCCAATCTCCCCCTTTTGTCACAGGTGGAAAATGATAAAGAGTTGATGATAAAGCAAGATGGCCATTGATTAATTAATATATAACAGTTTTTATGTGGTGCAATCCATAACAAACAAAGAAAAAATCTAATGCAGGAGTAACAAGTCAATTTTGTGTTAAAGACTCTTTAATTAGTTAATTCACTCTAGCTAGCTAGCCAGTTCATTATTTTTTTCAACACCTGCTTTTAAAAGACGATGCCAAAATGAAAGGTGGGGATTGTTGGAGGTAAGAACAAGTTAGTAGGCAGGATTTCAAATCAAGAATTTTCCCATTAAGACATTATAAATTAAAACTCACTTTGGTTGTGAAATGGAATTGCTCGTATTGTGTCTGTATGTAACTGACTTATCAACAGCAACTCCATAAAGCAGCACATTGTGGATTTTCTTACGCAATATAGCACTATAGATGATCCATCCACAGCCCTGCAATAAAATCTGTGTCTTATCACTCCCTGCCATATGATTTTTTTCCACATAATTTATTCTATAAAGTCTCGAACAACACTTGATGCCATCTAGTTTTTCAACATAAATTATTCTCAAGTCTATTTCAATAGTCAGATCCCACCATTGCATTCATGAACATCAACATCGTGACCAAAGTTTTTATGATTTGGTGGAACAATCTTGAATGTATCATGAGGATTGGATGCGTGAGGAGACAGTGACCTGCTTTTAGTCCACGTTGACAGCCACACTCGCACACATTCATTGGTTGCCCTTGTGTGGGTTCTTCTGTTTGGCATTTATCTGAATTTCGATCTTAACAGGACAAGTCAAATGTTTTACTGTTGGTGTTTCAATCTTTGGATTCACTTATCACTCTTCTCGATATGCTATGTTCCTCATATTTTAAATACCAGCTATAGATTGGTACTACTTCTACTACACTCTCTCTGGTTCAGTGTTTCCTTTGATAAACTAGACTGCATTACTTATGTTTATAGCCTAATAGGAAATGATTGCACAATTTGAATGTTTTGTTTCATAACGATGGAATGCTTAGGTTTCCACGACCATATATATATATATATATATATATATATATATATATATATATATATATATATATATATATATATATATATATATATATACCTTTCCTGCGATAAATCTTATTGTAGGACTTCAATGGTTGAAATGATAAACATCCATGATTCTTGTCTTTTAATTTTCTGAAACGTCATTTGATTTTTTTAAGCAAAAATCTGATACAAATTTAAAGATTAAAAAAAATAATACAAATTTTATAAGTTCAATTTCTAAAGTAACCAATGTTTACATTATCTTTAGTAGTAATTGAGAGTTTACTTTATTACTGATGAGACTTTTATAGTTTTTTAACTTTAAGTTTGGATTTTATTCAATTCTTTAATTTTAAAAGAAAAATAAAATATGTATCATCTTATTAATTAGTGAGTTCATTGGTGCCTTTGATATAAATCACAGAACATCTTATGGTATCTGTCAATTTGGAATTTTTGAGTCAAGTTGGGTTGGATTAATTTAAAGGTGGATTGAAAATTTGTTACTTTTGGTAGACTAAATTCACGTTCTATTTAGCTTTAAAAATATACTGTTGAATAAAAATTACTATATTTTCCATTTCACAGTTTTTTTTTTTTTTGAAGTCTAACTAATTGGTGCTCAAAATAATAATCTAAACTTTCTTGAAATATTTGTATACTATGTTTACATTGTAAGTATTAAAATATTCCTCATTCTGGTAAAATATTTAATATTTTTTACAAACATATTTATTTATTTAATATTTAGAAGTATTTATAAGCATGCTCATAAAAATATATAGCAATTAAAGCACACTTGTGATACATTGAATTGGTCTAAAACATGTGTTAATCATAATAATAGGAAATGATTGCGCAATTTGTGTTGGGAAGCATAAGTGTTTGCTTCTTAATGGGTGACCTAAGATTCTAGGACCTTCCCTTTCTTATCATTGGCCATTTTGGAGCAAATCCTATCCTCGTCCTTCAAATTGCAAACACCCGTTGTGACTTAAGCACAATAAACGTCTTTTTCTTACATTAAAATAATAAATATAGCAGATAAATTACCACTATTTTTGTTGAAATTATAAAGATATTTCCTCCATTTCATTTAAAATTATTGTTTTAATATTTAACTTTATTAATGATTTCTTTATTACTAAAAATATTTTTTAACCAATATTAAAGGATAATTATTAACTTAAGACAATAAAAAATAAACTTTATATATATTAATATAAAATTAATTCATAATATATGAAGTAATCTAATATGTTTTTAAATATATTACATTATTTAATAATATATATATATATATATATATATATATATATATAAAAACTTTTAAAAAAATTATCTACAAAGTCGTATAATAAGTTATGTAAAAAACCTTTTATAATTATTGATAATAAAAAATATTTTTTTCTTATAAACCTTAATTTCTCTTTTGTTTATATATGTTTCCATAATTCCATCAAGCAACCAACCAAAAGAAACATATAAATGTGAGCTCTGATAAAAACAAACAAATTGAAAACCCTCAAGCAACATGTAATTCTTGATAATAAAAATATAAAATTAAGTATCTATATTTATAAGAGTTTTTGATGATAAAATTATTTTAAAAACAATGAGATCGACTTGCACTAATATACATGATGCACGCGTATTACTGGGGCAAATGGGAAGATAAAAAATATATATGTGTCTTAGTCGCAAATTTATTTTTATATTGTTATAAAAGTGAAACATAGCATATCAATAACTGTATAAATAACAAAAACACTTTTTTTTTTTTTTATCTAAAACATATCACATAGAAGATTCTTAGTGGATACTACTAGTGAACATTAGACCTCTTGATTTTGATAATTTAAAATAAATTATCAAAATGACTTTTTAATTAAAAATTTAAAGGGTATTAAAATATATAATTAATTATATGTAAGTATATTTTGTGGTAGGAAGTGTAAGGCCTGTCTCTTCTTATCTTTAAACATGCCCGAAGACACAATTATTGGTGAAGAAAACTTGAGAACTGATAATAGAATTGAATAGAGGTAACGAGTTGGGTTGAATAATGGGAAATCACAGAAAGAATTGAAAGCAGAAAGTGAACAGTGACAGTGTTTATGATGTATAAAGAATTGAGATGTGTAGGTGTAGTAGGAGCAGTGTGGCATGTATATCCCATTTAGCTTTGTAGGATTTTGTCTTTCATGGGTCTAACAAGGAGCACGTAAGGGTTAATATGAGCCATGAAAGGAAACATTGAACGAATTTTGAAAATGAAGTTAGCTCATAGTGGAGGACAGAAATTTAGCCACAAGTATGGATGTGGTAGTGCCCACCAACTATCTTTTCAGTTTGGTCATTTGGATACTTATCACACTTTTTTCACCTTTTTTAATATTATGTCATGCATCAAAAACGTCGTATTCATCCTTTTAGGCATGGGATTGAATTATAAATTGAATTAATCCAAAAAACAATTCATAAACAATTTTTAAGTACGTTTCGTTTCATGGCTTTGATTTGCATTGCAGCTACCTACAGCTACCTAGGAACAGCTGCTAAACTACCGGCTAGTTGAGAATCTTCATTAAAATTAGTCAATGCCTACCAGTTGTTAATTTATTACAGTTTTTAATCGTCAAACTTATCAAGTTTCAGAAGATTTTTAACATTGGTGTGTGCGGTAGTGGAGTTTGACATGGATCTTCTGCTACCCGTTCAACAATTAACACACATCACTGTTTCTTTCATTCCAAGAGTTGCACCAATTACACTGCGAATTTTTCGTCACCAACCAAATAAAGATAAGAAAATAAAGAATGTCAAAAATAATATGTGCCCTTAGAAGAATTTTTTTTATCCAATTTATATATATTTTTTGGATTAAAGACAAATAAAATAATATTAAAAAAGTGAATCGAGAGACAAAATTTGACAAATTTTATAATATGCTAGGGTTAAATGGAAGACTGATTACGAAAAAAAATTGATGAAAAAAAATCATAATAAAAAAAATTATGTACAAATGATTAGAAAGGAAAAAGGGAAGGTGAGATAATAAAATTAAATAAAATAACAATATCATATAAGAAAGAGAATAATTAAAATTATAAATAAAATAGCAAAAAGAAAATAATAATTAAAAATAAATATCAAAATAAACAAATATTACGAATATAGGTTTGATTATCTTTTATTTAAATTAAAAACTAAAATAGTTGTATTATTATTTATAATAAAAAAATATTGATATTAATTTAAATAATTAAATAAAATTTTATTATTTAATATTTTATTAAATTTTTACTCATATTAAAAATTCACCCACTAACCCCAAAAATTTCAACCATTTGTGGGGTCCTCCACATAACAGATTCTAACAAATTACCATTTATTATTTAATTTATATTTCATTGACTGCAGCAATTCATTTGTACGATAGCAGATAATAGTTATATATATATGTGCGTGTGGTCCTAAAATACACAAGATTTGGTGGACATTGCAAATCAAGAAAATCTGATTTTGGATTAAATTTAGATGGGCATGGCAAGTGGGTAGGTAATCTGGAAGGTCAACTATACAGAAATTATTCCAATTAATCCTTGCCTTACACGATGATGCCAAGGTAGCACTAAATAGAAGGCTACCATGACAAACATTGGAAAAACCTGTGACTGATATGACTACTTCTATGTGCTGTGTTTTGTCTACCTACAATCTATAGTTGAGGGGGCATGAAAGGTATTAATGACTTGGGGGACTTTATTTCATTCTGCTTTTAAGTGCATCAAATTTGTGCCAAAAGAAGAGGGATGTGGGGGTAAATAAGAGTGCCTCAAACGCTTCAAACTCTACTCTCTTTAATTCCTTCAAGGCTAGAAAAGCTTCTAAATCAGGGAAAAGAGCAATTTGTATCAGCACTAATTCAGATGTAACACTTTGTGGTCCTGCTGCATCATTCTCCAACCATTGTAATTACTAAAATACACAACTATTACATAAGCAATCAAGGGTGAATCAAGGGGAAGTGCCATAATGGGATTGAGAGGGAAGGACAACCCATCAAAATAACATAAAGAAATTTAAAGTGTCATTTTGTTATTTCCTTCATGTAAACATATGCAGCATAATGGTTGGTACCTTCTTTTTATTCCATATCTTCCACCTTTTTCTCATTTTATGGAACTTTAACAGGGTACCTACCTCTTGGAGTCATTGCTTTAATTTTAACATATATTAAAAAGTAAAAAAAAATCTATTCCATTTTTTATTATATGTTGTGGATGATTAAGAAAAGCACAATGTGGGTGGGGTGTGTGTCTGTCTAAGTTTGATCTTTTAAACTCTTAACCGATCCATACCAAGAAAATAGAAACGACCCGACTTGTCTGTGGACTAAATATATGAATAAGCAAAGCACTACTAATTGCTTTCTAATAATCTCACTATAGTATTAATACTTTATTTGGATGTTCCACTAAATTACGCTGCATATTGATTCTGAGATACAATAAAAACAAAGTACTGAAAAACTCGTTTTTTTTTTTGTTTTTTTTTTCTTTTGTCCATTTGGTAATCTTGTTCACATTAAAAATAGTTTCTTTTAAACCTTTCTAGTGGAAATTCCCCTTTTTGGGAAGAGGAATGGCAAATAACTAAATAAATAAAGGAAAACTTGAAAAGATGCTCATTTCTCATAATTTTATTTAATTATACGGTTAGATATTACCATCACCTAATTTAATTAAGAAAAATTTATCTGAGTTTTATCAAGTTTTTCTATTTTTTTATTTGACTTAATCAAATTCAACCTATTAGTTAAATTAAATTGGATTAATTAGATCATACATTTAAAAAAATTATTTTAAAAATATTTTTTTAAAGTATTTTTTACACAATTTTAAAAAAATAGATTATACTATTTATTATTTAAATAATTTAATAATCTAATAATTTTAAATATATATAATTAATATAATGATTAAATAATGACTATATTATTATTAATATTATTTAATAATTTTCATTTTGAATTGGATTTCGAGTTTAACATGCAAAAATTATCACCCAATTCGTATAAAATTATATTAGATGAAATTCAACCTAATTATATAACAAATCTAATTCAATGTATTTGTATTTTTATTGGATTAGGTCGAATTATTAACTCAATAAAAACTCATATTTTAATAAAGGATTAATATATTAATTGAAATTAAAACCAATTAGATAAATAATATGATATAATTAAAACATGATGAAAAATTATTTTAAAATATTCGATTTATCATTCATTAACAATTTTGTAATAATTAGATATTTAACTTATTTACAAAATAATATTACATTGATTTTTATATAAAAAAATATTTAATTTAATTATGATTTTTGAACATTATATTAAACTATAAGAAATTTATAACTTGATTATATTATATTATGTTAGAATTTATGAGTTTATATTAGATTAGTATGTTATTATGGATGGATCTATTTCATAAATAATAATTATTTTTTAAATAAAAGTAAAAATAATATTATTTTGTTAATATATATATATATATATATATATATTAAACTAGTTTAATAAAAAATTATTTTATTATAAAAATAAATATAAAATCAAGTATAATCATTCACTTATTAAGGATTTAGTAGTTAAGATAAATTATTATTTTAAATTATTAAATAATAAGAAGAATAAATACAATTTGAATAAATATTTTATCTTATAAATTATATATTAAATTTAAAATAAAAAATAATTTTATTAATATAATTTAAATTTTAAATTTAATTTTTTATATTAACACGTTATTTTAAAAAAATATATTTAATAAGTGAAAATTGATTTATTAACAGGTTAATCTAATACAAAATCAAAATAAATAAAAAATTATGATGTGAGTTATTAATATTTTTTATTTGACAAATAAAATA